AGCTTATTAACCTTTTAACCCCTAAGATCAAAATTTGAATTCTCATTTGTTGCCCCTATTCATTTCATACAGAAGTAGTGGGGAGAAGTTAATATCAAGCAAATTAATCCTTTGTGATCATGCCCCAAATTCTCATGACCACTCTGTTTGACAAAGCATTGATATTACAAGGAGAAATTTGATGCTGATCACTCTTAAAGCTTAAAGAGTTAAAGGAGTACCCCCTGGGGAGCAGGGATATATAAGGCAGTAGCCAGTACCCAGTGGGCCACACTAGCTGTTTGCCCTACTTTTCACTAATATAATGACAGTGATCAGGAACAAATGGGATCCTGCAGTGATGGCATACATTGTGCCATGATACACAGTTTATTTACAGCAACAGGTACTGTCTATTAGTTTAAAGTTTAAAATCTTAACATACTTTGACATTTGCATAATTCCAGCTGTTTTTTCCTGCTAAGTCATGGTTGTTGATTTTAGCAATAAACTCATCACAACTTCCAAGATGATCCAGTGCCTGTTGTATAATGGGTCCAAGTGAATTTTCTACCGGGGGATGCGACAGGGGATACACTAAATGAACTGTTGCATGGTCCCTGAATCTGTCAACACACTTGTAGAGGCCAAACAGAGAGGTATAGGTTGTCTTTACATCATAACCAGGTACAAAAACAGCTGAAAAGCGAGTGCAAAATTAAGTCAAACCTAATCAATGTTAAGAAAAGATGTACAGTCAGACATCCAGTAAGCAACTACCCAAAAAGCAAATCCTTGGTTTAAATTTTATTTTGTTTTGTTTATAAATCATCATCATATATTGCCATACCCAAAACAAAAGAAAATAAAATTTAAACCGAGGATAAAATTGAACCACAACAGTAACTTATGAGAATTGAACATTAGGGGGTCTCTTCTGAGAAGAGGTCCAGACTTAAATCACTACTTTCTGGAAGCAAATTTATTGTATATTATATGCAGTTTCTTAGGGCACTTTCCATTTGTCAGAACTGAGTGGCCAGACCATTCCCGTCATATTGAGAATGGGTGATTCCAGAAAATATCCATACCCTACCACGGGTGGCATGAGTATTTTAACCCCCCCCCCTTGCCCTCTGAAATTCCAAAATGCTTATCCCCCCCTTGCCCTCCGAATTCCAAAATCGCTAACCCCCCCTCTCCTCCGGAATTTTCCACTATTGTTTCAGACCCTTTGGAATTCCTGTTTGTCTGCCTAAATCTTCAAATGAATGAGAAACTTGCACTTTTTCCCTCTGCAAAAGAATTCTGTTCACAGTTTTTAGTCAGACGATCAAGCAACTCAAGTTTGTTAATGTTAGTACACCGTAGCTATTCCTTCTAAGCATTATCTTTAAGCTGCTTACCACCTAATAGAACTTTTTGTTTTCCATTCAATACCGTCATATTTTCAGGAGTAGATCGTATTGATACCAGTGGACGCTGACNTCTCTTCTGAGAAGAGGTCCAGACTTAAATCACTACTTTCTGGAAGCAAATTTATTGTATATTATATGCAGTTTCTTAGGGCACTTTCCATTTGTCAGAACTGAGTGGCCAGACCATTCCCGTCATATTGAGAATGGGTGATTCCAGAAAATATCCATACCCTACCACGGGTGGCATGAGTATTTTAACCCCCCCCCCTTGCCCTCTGAAATTCCAAAATGCTTATCCCCCCCTTGCCCTCCGAATTCCAAAATCGCTAACCCCCCCTCTCCTCCGGAATTTTCCACTATTGTTTCAGACCCTTTGGAATTCCTGTTTGTCTGCCTAAATCTTCAAATGAATGAGAAACTTGCACTTTTTCCCTCTGCAAAAGAATTCTGTTCACAGTTTTTAGTCAGACGATCAAGCAACTCAAGTTTGTTAATGTTAGTACACCGTAGCTATTCCTTCTAAGCATTATCTTTAAGCTGCTTACCACCTAATAGAACTTTTTGTTTTCCATTCAATACCGTCATATTTTCAGGAGTAGATCGTATTGATACCAGTGGACGCTGACAAGAGTAAAGTTTACGATCGATATTCCGTCACCCGCCATATAGAAAATTTCCCTCATTGATTAACTGCTGACCACTAGTTATGCAGCATACGTTTTACAAGCAAAACACAATGAGCACGAACGGACTGAATGGGTACAACATGTACAACATATTTTTAAACCCATAGTTCTACAATAACCCTTAGGGTCGAAAACAATGTTTCACATGTATACGCTTATGTTGCATTTGAAACATAATTTTGTAAATTCAAGACAGAAATGAATCTTTCACTTTCTCAAAGACAACAAGACATACTCATGAGTACTTATTCATGACCGGTAAACAGTTGTTTGTATTTTGCCTTTATATTTATAAATACAATTTTGTCTTGTGGCGTGTTAGCAATAGCAAAAAGCTCTCCGTGCCTGAGGACATTGGATTGCCAAGAAGGCTACCTTAGTTTTTAACCAAGAGGAAATATCGCAGATTATCCACTGCAATTGCCAACTGTCAAGTTTAATAATCCCTTACGCCTTTGTTGATGACAGCACATTCACATTTATTATTGAAAAACTGGAGAACTTAACCTATATTTGCGTGTGCGTGAACCAAATCAAAACCAGAAAGCCGAGTTTAGAGATTTGTTGGAATGTGAACCATACACCATAACAGCAAACATTTGAACTGGAAACAGTTTCAGTATACAGTAGAGTGAGTATTGTAATCGATCCAGTCAGTCTTTGTTGATGTTTTTGGCCTCATGTGGATTTGCGGCCCTTTATTCATAATTTTGATTTTACAGAACTGACAATTTTTTTCCTGATGAAAAATGTATGGAAATCATAGAAACGCAGGAAAATCAGGACCGAACTGCATTTTTCCCCTAAATACCGGTTTTAGATTTGATCAGCAAATGTTTTTAGGTCTATGCAAATATTTTTGTCACGCTACACATAACATGCATGTACAAATAATTTAATCATGTAAAATGTATGATGGAAATAAAAAAAAATGAATGAAAAGTAACTATTATAATTTTTTGAGGTAAACCTCTCCCCGACTCTTCCAGTTCTATTGGCAAATATACGTCCGTTTAAGGATATCAGCTCCTGGAATAATTAGTTATTTCGAGGAAAAATAACTATTTAGAACTGAATGATCAAAACACTTGCGCATAAACAGTTTTGAATTAAACAGCGCATCAAAAGGCACGCTGTTGGATTTTACTACCTACATGTTGGCGTGAAAATCGGCGTGAAATACAAAATCTGTCAGGCGTTCTATTTGGAAACGAGAGACTGGTGCGAGTTTTCAGCACGCAACAACACATCGTTGATCGACAATCGGCGAGAAACACCGACTTGGTTATATTTTTATTAATCAGTTGACTAATTCATCAACTTTAAGGCCTCTTCGATGTGGAGCTTGCTGCACAACCCATCTGCATGAACGCATACTTCTTCCGTGGTCGGTTTGTGCTTCATTTACAAACTGGGAATGTTAACAGGTCAGCGATTTCAAGCGGAGCTTTTGCCGTCTTTCCTCTGGCCGGCCAGTTCTGACTTTTGGAAAGCGCCAGGGCTTAGTTACTTTATGATATATGTCCAGTTTTTCCATGTTGTCATTAAAAGTTTTCCATATACACTGAGTAGCATAGTACATACAGCAAACTTAGAAATTAGACCATACATCAATGGGTTGCTTCAAAGAGGTTGAAAACAATAAAATTGTCATCCCTAAAAAATTTGTCATGGTTGCTTACAGGAGGTGGCCTGTATACAGTCATACATCACCATCCTTACCCAAAGATAATGGTCCCTTCCAGTGCGTAGTGAGGTCCAGAAGATAATGAAGGTGATTTGAAGTGCAGTGAGTTACTAACGTCACATCATGTTTATCTTCTTCTAGATGGATATTTGCTTGTAGAAAGTCTGCCTCTATTTTGTACTGACCAGATGAATCTGTGGGGAGGTTTTTGAATTCTACCTTCCTTAGAAGCAGTTCCTGCAACTAAATCAAGCAGAATAAGCAACATGGGAAGAAGCCTTCTATCAGAGTTCAAACTCCCCAATCCCCAACCCAAAAAAACATTTAAATGACCCATAAAAGGTGAATTGTAGTTGATCAAATATCCCCACCCCGCAGAAATGAAAAATCTGTAATATACTTAAAATTATAAAATGTAGCTTTCCAATGTTCTTGAAGCCAAGTCCAGGGCTGTTAACCCCCCACGTCTTCAAATATTGACAATATGATGGGGAAGGGATGATAGATGACATCATAATGCATGGCAGATTACATCATTTGTGGGAAAAAAACGCGCGAAAAAGATGTTGTTGGAATTGTACCATTTGACCTAACTGGTTTACTTCCTACTGATCACATTATTGCTTATATTACAATGGCATACTGGAGTTTGTGAGGAAACGTTTGATGTTAACAGTAAAATAGCTCAAACAACGCAAAATATTTGAAATTTCATTTTCAGAAAGTCGAATCTACAAGAAATGACAAACTTCATATTTGGCGATTATCCGGGAGATTTCAGACTCTAGTCTGGAGACCGGGAGAAACGGCTCAAACTCTGGAGTCTCCCGGAGAGTTGACAGCCCTGCAAGTCTGCAGACAGAGCAAAGCTTGTGTTAACCAATGCTTTTCTGCTGATCCACCTAAGGCCACAATCTTTTGTTTAAAAATTATCCAAACTCACCATGATTCAGCTTCTGCAATGATTTTTCAAGCCTAGTGCCTACTGGCACCAAGACATTCCTGAAAATCAAAGCTAGGTTCAAATTCCCTACCCCCCAGATATTATCAAATCCCCTGCAGGGAAGGCAAAGGTGTCAAATGCCCGGGGGAATATGTTTTGATTTCTCTCAAACGCTTTGGCAACGACCTTTTACGATGATTATTTTTAGACTGCGTTTTCTTACCTTCAATTTTATAAACCTCTTCTCCTCGTTAAATCTATCTTTGAATTGAAGCTTACTGTACAAGATGAAGTTGACTGAAACCAACACCACAACTAGCAAAGCCAAAAACACAATCACTGAAAATTTGTTTAGCCGCATTCACAACTACACCCCACAAAGGGGATATGGAGTCATGGCCTAAAATATTGCCGCTATAAATAGTAAAATCAAGTGTAACAGTGCAGATTATAAGCAATTTATAAAACGACCAACAAACAAAGTTGCCTCCATCTTGAAGCGAAAGCATTGCGGGCTCAATATTGGTCACGTGCCTTCGAGCGCCAGAGATGTTCAAAAATATCTCCGAATGAAAATAAGCTTGTAATTCTTTGTTGATATTAAATATTTTGTGTTGAACCAGGGGAATTGAAAATTAATTTGTCTTCACTGCGGAAATACCCTAGAGAATATTTGGCTTGGATTTTTTGGGAGAGTGCTAAATAGTGGACCCTAGCCCTCAGGCCGCTTTTCGCGCGCTCCAGTAGTGTCCGGAAATATTCATTGGAGAGTATAATAAAGTGTGTGGATACGGCTGGTTGACGCGGAAATTTCGAGAGGAAAAATTATCGCTCCCATGTAGAAAGTGATAGCCAAAGAGCCTTTCACTTCTACGAAAAAGACGTAGTAGTTTGTTGTGTCGTAAGAGGAAGAGATTTAGTCAGGTAAGCACTTAAAATTGAGCTTACTTTAAAATCTTAAGTTCTTTCGGTGTTCATTCTTGACATGTCATTTTGAATTCATTGCGAGAGCTGCAGGTAAATGTCTGAGTGGTATTCTAGAACACCGGTGGTGTAGCTTCGTTATTTTAGAGCACGCTATAGTAAGAGCCTGTTTTTCAATAAAAATCTGAGCAATTCTCAGAATGTATGTAAGACCTAGCGTTCGTGTATACGAAAAGAATCGAAGATGACTGCCATCCGACGCGTACCGTCGTATTAAATGGAGTTTCATGGGCTGAAGTACACTGCTGCTGAAGTGCTACCTTAACCACACGAGTATGCACAATTTCTTGTATTGGAACGGCCTGACGGGACCGTATCGTTTTCGACGTTTCGTTCGAACCTCGTTCTGCATTCAACCTTATGCATTGATCAAAACAAATTTCTCGGAGGTTTGAGGGTTATTAAGTTCACGAAATACATGAGCTCTTGCTCAACTTAGTAATTTTTCTTTCGTTTAAAATTTCGTTGATGTTGTGTGTTGTTTTCCTCATAAGAGTTAAGTTTATTTCCTTCTCTCTAATATTGCTCCGAAGTTGTTTTATACTTGTAATATTGATAATTAACATTTCGCTTCAGCGTTTTCTATTTTTGACGAGGAGACGACGCTTTTTAGTCAACATGAAATTCATGCGCGCGAAGGGAGCTCAGTTAGTTCGGTTGAGGGTAAACCGTACCCCTCTAATTTTTAAACAGAGAGGCAGAAAGAATCGCAATTCTGATTACCTCTACTGCTAATCCAATGAGAGTTTTTATCATGCAGATGTGGTCAGGGTTAATTTTTGATGAAGTAAATTGGGGTAAATATTGAAGTTTTCGAATCGTACATTTGCAACGCAATTGTCGACAACATTCTTTGGAAAGTAATCAAAATTTTTCTGGCAGTTTCCTTGTTGAATAAATTGTCATCTATTACGCATAAAACTTTTGCACTGAAGAATTTTCCAACTTTGTTTCGTGAAAGGTTTTTTGTTTGTTCCAGTTTTTCTTTGTTTTCGTTTACAATCCGTGTCATGTTTACATTTTTGTTATTTTTTGTTTGTGATGTTAATTTTTGAATTGTTTGACGTGTCGCTAAGATCACACGGTGTTCATGGCAATTACAGCAGTATGATAGCGTCATTCATTCATTTTTACGTACCCGAGTTGGATAAAAATAGTTTTGCGGTAAAACTATTTAAAAAGAATTCAAAAATCAAAGTCTTCTTGGAAAATTACTTGCTGGTTTGTTATTTTGTATGTTTATGTGTGAATGTTATTACTATAACAATATCCAGAGAAGAAATAAAGAAATTATGATTTTAGAGCTGCATTATTCGGGTTTACCATGAGACTGAATTAAAAAAATATGTAGAAATTAAACCTTATTATGTGGCAAAAACAGTCTTTTGTGCTGCAAATTTTTCTATAAAGTAGAGTTGGCATAAAGCACTTCATTGTGAATATAATGAGAGTATAAATTTTATACTCTCATTATATTCACAAGTCAACAGAGTTTAAGTTTGTTGTTTGTCCAGGTCATACAATTTAAAAATTAACTTTAAGGTTCCTTAATGTAAATTATGCAATACCGGTAATTAGGATACAATTTGCGAGCAACTACACCAAATTGAATATTACCAGAAGCTGTGCAAGTTCATCTGCTGTTATTTTCATCCATAATAATTTGTTTAACAGATGAGTGGAAGGCCGGGAGATTCCAGCCCAACAGACAGTGGCGTGGACACTCGAGATTGGGAAGGTCAGTAATCAAATGGGTTGTTTGAATCAGTGTAAGATTTTGGGAAAGTGCCCACATACCCCTCCCCTAATGCGACATATTTGGCCCTCAGTGAAAATTAAGCGATGATGTTAGATTAAGGGAAGGTGGGTGGGTGGGCAGTCACCGAGAATCTCTTACTAATCTGGTTGTTTCATGTTGTGTTTTTTGTGTGTTTGTCATGGTGTAGACTACTGGTCTGAAGTTCAATGCCACTTGATGAAGATGTCTTCACTGACTACAGTGTAGATCAAGAATGGCAAAAACAAATGTCATGATGTTGATAATTGTGGTAGCAGGCCTGAAAGAAATGTGACGCAAGATAATTTTTAATGGAGCAAAAACTAACATGCCATTTGCCCCACAGTGTCATTTCACCATACTATTATATTTTTTTTTCTTTCATATTTAAATTTTGTAATACCAGAAAGGCTTAAAATAACAAGAGCTCTAATTTACTCAACAAAGTAAAATCCCTGGAGGATCTTGCTAGTAGTAGTACCAGTAAAATTGATGACATTGTCATGCAAACAGTATTGTAAATTAAAATTAACGATAATAAAAAATAAACAATTGCTACATTTATTGCAGAAGCAAATGAAGTAAATTTTCAAAACTTCAAAAGTAATTTTTAAATTCACACATTTTTACCTCTCATTTTAAGTCAGTTGTTTGAACATAGTTATTAGAGGCGACTGGTTATGAAAAGCGGGAAACATCAATGATAAAAACAACAGTGCTGCAGTTTATGTTGGAAGCACCCTGAAAGTGCACAATCCTTTGTTTTCTGTTGGCAAATTGTTACGGAATAAATTAATGCAACGTTTTTATTGGTCAATACAATCAAAATGATAGGAATTCTTTTGAACATTGTGCACTTTCAGGTCCACAAAAACATATAACAAAGGAGTCTGATGGGTTTCATAACCATATCACTCAATTAACTATGGTTTGAACCAACAATGCAATCAATGCAATTTTTGTAAAATATAATATTTTGTTGATAGACCTGACTGTGCTCTTGCTTCCGTTCAGAATCTTCGGCAATACACCATGAAATTTATGTCCATATAAATGTGATTACAAGTGCTATCCTCATCTGGGCAACTCGTAATGTTGATTTATAGAACTAATGATAAATGCAAACATTGCTGTGCTGTTCAGCATGCAAAGAAAGTAGTGTCCGATAGCCCAGGGCTAGTGGATTTTGCTATCGGGCTAGTGAATTCTGTTTTAACTTGCCCAACGGGCAAGTGATGTTTTATGAGGAATTTGAATAATAGAAGAACAAAAAGTTTTTGGGGCTAGTTGAAATGACGTGTGGGCTAGTAAATGCTAGCTTCAGCTTGCCCGAATGGCAAGCTGTAAAAATGATTTTCTTTGCACCCTGCTGTTGAAACCCAATGACTATTGACCATTATTCCTAATGATTATTTACAGCAACCTGAATTATCTGTGAAGTTGTTACCCTAATTAACATACCAATGAATAAGAACTCAAATTTGCTGGTAACAGCTATAAGTTATTTTAATTATTTCCTTGTTTGCATGTCCCTCTTGGGAAAGTTAAGCAAACTTAAGTCTACTAGAGGTGTAAGCACGTGAATTTCATACAGTGCACATGTGCATTCAGTGAACTTTGGTTTTGTTCTTTCCTGACCCTCAGTGACCCTATGTGAAGATCTTTGGATGTTTATGTGTTTTAAGTCTAGTAAAGTCTCAAAATAGCTATAGCTCATTACAAGTGGCTATAAAACTTTGTTTTTTTTAATTTTAATTAAAAGTAATTTGTATAGGATTAAAGTTGTAAGCAGTCGTCTGCAATAACCTATTTTCTCAAAATTTGTTGATTGCATGTGTTTGGTTCAATTTTATCCTTGGTTTATTAACATTTTATAATACTTCAGACTCATTAGCACAGATTACCATATAGTCAAATGACAAAGTAAAATTAAATTGAAACCAGGGACAATTTTGAACCGCAACATATTCACTGACTTTGTATTTTCACTCTTTTTTCCACCAGGGCCAAGAATGGTAAGTAGACAAAGTAACTGATATTTGTTTGGTTTACTAAATTTACTTCTCCTTTATAGACTCATCACTGACCAAACCAATAAGGTTGTTCAGATTCTTCTTCAGTTTAAAAATTAACAATGAAACTAGATTGATTTATGTTTTTCTTTGTCTCAAATTATGAAAATGATTGTGAAAAAAAAAGGCAAAAAGGCATGAATCCTAACTACTCATGGTGAATGTCATGAAAATTTTGTTCACAGTGTGGTATGATTACAAAAACATAATAATTTTCTGCGCCTTTTTATAGACAATGTCTATCAGTCTCTCTGCTGTCTTTAAAATTCTTCTGTTTTTATTATTGATTTTTAGCTCAATGGTACTGGTCCAAAAAAGTCCCCCAGAAACTCACCAAATCTAGGACCTCATAAAGGTAATGAATATGAAGTTATATAAAGGTTAGTATTAGTATGTTGTAGTGCAGGACCATGGTCTTGCATAGCCTGGTGGTCGCCCATAGTGAGTTTCCTTTTGTCTTCTGGCCTTTGAGGCCTGTTTTAATGTCAAACTTTAAATTAGAAAATTAGTTTTAAAAATGCACAACTAATGAACACCTTGAATTCATTTTTCCAGTATAGAATAATATTTGTATTTGTTTTTGTTGTCTCGTAAGATATCAAGGCAATGCCTGTTCCAGCTGCAAGTCAATTTCAAGCTAGGACAAATTTTCTTCTTGAGGTATTTTCACACAATATTGACTAGATAATAAGACTTTAATTAAATTACCTTGTGGTAAATGCATTTAATGGAACGTAACGTCTAAGGGGGGCAGGGTGTGTAAGACTGCGTGACATTAAAGGTCAAAATACGGTAGTTTTGTGATTCATGGTATGATCGAATGAGCTCTCTTTTAGCTGTGAACAAAGGCTTTTCATGGCTAGAAGTATCTCAATTTAGAGCATGTCACCTGTTTACAAATACATGTTAGCATTGCCACACCTGGTTGTTATTCAGTCAGCTTGCAGAAAAGCACTTTCAAAAATTTCGTTACCCGCCTACCCTCTGTTTAGCAGAGCAGTAACAATAACAATTTCAACTGTTTTATGTTTATTATTATTATCATTATTGTTGTTGTAACTATTATTATTATTATTATTATTATTATTATGGTGTGATCCTCTCCAGTTCTTTTTCTTCTTCTTCTTCTTCTTCTTCTAATTATTATTATTATTAAAATTTAGCACAGGGATTTTCTCTAGGGAGAAATATCCAGTCAAGTCTCATCCCGAGACCTCAGACTTCCAGCACCTTTCTGAGGATATGTGCCGATCCGAGGAGTGCCGACTTTTGCATTGTTCTTGTTCGGTTTTTAATTCCTAGTTGCTCCAAGTGGCCTGCCAGCTTCTTTGATACTGAACCCAATGCACCTACAACCACTGGCACCACTTTTGTTTTGTTATTATTATTATTATTATTATTATTATTATTATTATTATTATTATTATTATTATTATTATTATTATTATTATTATTACATCTTTTGTTGTAGAAACAGGAGCTGGGATAGCCCAGACTTAATGCAATTTTGATCTTTTTTTGTTTTGGCTTTTGTTTTGTTTTGTTTTTGTTTTTGCTTTTTTTTTGTTTTCTTTTAATCCAATAATAATAATCCAATCTCAAGCAGCATTTGTAAATTGCACCATTGCACATTCAAAAACACAAATAAAGTTTCCATTATTATTATTTTGTACTGTGCTCTTTATAGGTATATCCATTAATTTTCACGTGCTTAAAGGGGCTATGTCACAAGGATATTGCGTCCTGTTTAGGTGAATTCTGTGCGAAAGTCATTACCTAGTGTCTTTTCCCATATACAAAATGCTCTTGTAATAGAGTATGAAGGAAGTATCAAACAAAAATCAAGCAAATAGCGATATATAAGAAATGGTTAAAATCCAGACAAAATATTGTTCTGGAATAAAGAAAAAAGTAAGCTCTGTGGTTATCTCATTTTCAGGGGTGGTCATATTGATATGTAGAAAGCAAAAGGTCTTGGAAAGTTTTTGTTCAATTTCAAAATCATCGAACCATTTGTAATGAATTTTGAAGTCTCAATTGTTTGCAAAATTTCTTTTCATTGCTTCTCAGTCTTTTTACCTTTCGCAGCAGTCTCAAATTCTTAGCAATGTCCTGGTAACTCAGCAAGTCTTGGATTTGACCATTTCATACCCGTTTTTTTTTTCTCTGCAGCACTTATCTTCATTCACATTAAAAACTGCTCAAGAGGCACAAGTCCCTCCCCGGGAAAGACTGAAGCAGACTAAGGTATGATATTCTGCCCTTTACAACCATGTATTCTCATGACATTAGGGAAGTAAGCCTTGTGTGATCAATCAGTAATTATCAGTGTCATTCACTTAGGATTTGTATTATCAATGCCAATTAAAATCTATTATTGTGAGAAATTGGTAGCCATTCAATTAAGAGAAGTTGACATGATCATAACAACATTTTTTTTTTTTTTATTATTATTTTTTTATTCAAAACATTTATTATTATAATTACAAAAAACTACTTAAAAAGAAAAAAATTAAAAAATTCTAAAAAACCGCAAAAAAAAACATAATTAAAATTATCTAAATTTCACAATTATAAAAATTAAAACCAAAAAAAACCCAAGAAATTACCGAATAAGGCTTATTTAAAAAAAAATTAATTAATAATAAATTATTAAAAAAAAAAAAAATAAATAAACAACCGCAATAACAGACATACTTACAATTATCTACATTTCACAATTATATACATTACAGCCACAAAACAGCCGCGCAATTGCCGAATGAGGCTTATTTTACAAAGAATTAATTAATACTTAATTATGTCTACAGATAAAAGAGAGATTAACACTTAATATTTACAGTACGCTCTGAAATAAAAAACAAAAACATAACCACACATACAAAAAAAAATATATACAAAAATACAAAAATACAAAAAAAAAGTGTCTAATAAAAGATTATGATCATAACAACATGATCAAGATTTTTATTCCTGGTTTTTGTTGGTGTTTATCAACAATTATTGATATCTATTGGTCGCTTTGCCATTGGATTCTTTATTACAGCCCTCACAACCACTCATTAATGGATCTAGAGGACTAGTATATTAACGTGTTACTAACATACTACAGTCATGTATCAGTTATATAATTAGTTTTGATTTAAGCAACTAACCCTTTATGCCTTAAATTATGTGTAAAAGTCTATGTTGAGGGGCAGGGGCAAGCTTATTTTCATGAAGCCGTGATTGACCATTTTTGGTGTCTGTGAATCCTGATGTATTGGAAAACTGTTCTGTGAATCGTGATTGAAATGTACTCCTTAAAACGTGAACTGCCAAAATAATCCCCTGTACTGTACACGTAGATTGAAGATGAATTGAAGAAATTAAATCATTAATTTGGCCAAACAATCTTAACTAGCATCTGGTGGCTTGAATTGACTTCTCTTTTGAGTCTTTTAATGTAATTTCACACCTCAGTGTGCTCAGACCCACCTACAGCCATCTTCCCTAGGGAATTTATAGCCGCACAGAGATCACCCAAACACGTGGCTGAGATCAAATACACCATCTGTACTGTGACTCATGAAACACAAAATTCTTGTCCGTGAACTCGTGACAAGACCCCCCTCCCTCTTGCCCCCCCTCCCCCTCCCCCCTTCTCTGCATTTATCCCTGAACTTTTACATTCCTGGCAAATGCTGTGAACATTGAAATGTTACTCTTATTGCAACAGGAATTATTAGCCAAAGGAAACCAATGGACAAAAGAGATGGAAATGAGGTTGACAGACACTGACGTGGTGCTTTTAGATGGAGAAACACAGGTGAAGATTTTGCTTCAATATTAATTGTTTTGTACTTAACCTTGGCTTTCAACAACAAGAGACAAATGTTGAATCTTGAGAGGCGAGAGTCTCCTCTCTAGGGACAGAAGTTTTGTCTTATAGATGAGACTCTGTAAGTGCTTGTATAGTGGGCCTTAACTATGTACAACTTACAATGTACAACTATTCAGTTGGATAAGTGTCGGTCTGCTGAAAAGGGAGGCTGTTGGTTAAAAACCCTGGCCTGACCTACACTCACTCACTTATGGGAGAAATTGCTGCCTTTGTAATGACATCTGCAAACAGTTTCTTCTCAGATAAGATAACAAACCGTTGGCTCCATCTTCACATACAAGCAATACATTCTGTGAGATGGTAGAGAACCCACACATTGTTGGTAAAAAGTAGGGGATGTACGTAGCAACTGCTGTGGTGGTCTACCTAAAATTCACACTCACTGTATAGGGGGCATGATAACTCGTTCTTTCACTAATATTGTAAACTGCACCATAAGCAGTCTACCAGTCTTGTAACTTGTACCTGAAAAGCCTTGAGTAGAGTGTATATAGAGGATATTACACGGTGGCGCGAAGATATGAATTTTATTTTTGAGTGGCAAAACAATATTTCACGAACGAGCGCAGCAAGTGAGTAAAATATTGTTTTTGCCTCGAGAAAATAAAATTCATATCTTCAAGCAGCCGTGTAATGTTCTTTTTATTATATAGACAAAAAGACATCTATAAAATAATAGAGGGAAATGACCGAAATTACGTCATCGATAAACTCATGTGTGAGGTTATGGAAAATAAACCACTTGGGTCCCAGATGTAGTTTTTATGAATTTTACGAGTGGTATATTTTCCAGTAAAACACTCATGTCTGTTAATGAAATATTTACAATTTACAGTTAAGCTTGTTGTATATGTAACAGCACCACCATGCTGTAAGATCCTATATTTAGCTTTGATTAAACCTGAAAATTTAGACCCATGTGAAACTAATTTGGAATCAGCAACAATTCCTTGCAATACTGAGGTAAATTATTATTTCTTTGGTCTTTGTTTTAACATGATCTTTTTTTTTGTTATAGGATGTTGTTGAAGTGTTCTCCTTGAGTACAATTGGCCATGTTCATCATTTTAGTGATGACCCTGACTTGAATAGTGTGCTTGTATTCAATACAATGCAGACAGAAAATAGATTTGGGGCTATGCACTTGTTTCAGTCAGACCGAGTTCCGGTATGTACTTTCAGACTGTTCAAGTTCGTTGTATTATATGTTATTGCAGTGATTTCAGTGCTTGACAATAATGTTATCACAAGACCTATCTCATGCCAAAATTATTGGAGACAGCCCTAAATATACCAGTGATAGAAAAAGCATAAAATGAGAAGTGGGTTTTCCAACTTATAGGCTTTAAACCCTGAAAGTCAACAGTGGAATTTCATCGTAATTTGAATAATGGAGAAAGACAACTGGACGAAGTTGGTGGACTGCATACCAACTTGCAGTGCTGCAATTCTTCCCATGCAAAACCTTAAAATTTTGCAGACACTTTAGCACCCATAAATTCTTAGTCTCGTGTGTCAATCATCTCAAAATTGGCTTCTTAGGTAATACCATTTCTGGTATTAAATTATTAAGTTGTATCTCATAATTCTTGCTTCAAGCAGGTCACATGACTGCAAGTTTTGAAGGGCTTATTAGCTTGTGAATTAGCAGCTGTTAGGGATATTAAAGAAATGGCTGTCTTGACAGCCACTTTGTAATAAACCTTGGGAGGCAACCTCTCCTTACAGACAACTTTTCAACACAGACACATTGCAGAAAGTTCCTTTGCTCCTTAGATCACAGGGCCTGTTTTATTTTCACCAACCAAGACTGTTTAGTTTAGGTGTCAGTAAAGTAACTACTAAAAGCTCCCTATTGCAATAATTGTCTACAGGCAGCAGTGGTGGCCACAGAAATAATGAAAGCTTCCAGCAGCAGATCGGTATGTTATCATCAGATAAAACAGATCCTATTCCCCTGTTACCATCATCATGGTTTTCCTCTAACAGTGCATGTGGAACACTCAGCTTACTAAATTTTTTTTAGCCCTGCCTGCAAGTCAAAAGTGCCCAATGAAAATTGTAGACTTGTGTTAAATCTTACTGAATACATCTTTTTCCCCTCCTTATTAATATATTATATTTTTACAGGCTATGCCGCACAAATTTGCTGCAAAGGGTGGTGTTATACTGCCCCCACCCCCTACTCACCCAGCACCCCCTCCTCCCAAGGTACAGTTTGGAGATTTTTTTCTAATCTTGTTGTTGTTATTGCTTGAATGTAGCAGTCTGTCACTCATCTAAGCACTAATTAAACTTTACTCAGCAACCATTAAAAAAACACTATAACCAGCATAATTTTATTATGTTTGCATGTGGGTTCCCGCCAACATCTGTTAGTCCTGTCAGACAGCTAAAAAGGGCAGAAGTAATATTTGAAATGATGAACTAAATGCTTGCAGGGCTGGCCTGAAGTCAATGTTTTACTTGTTTTGGAAAGTGAAAGATAAATAACAGGAAGGAAGTAGAGTGGAAAAAAAAAAAAAGAAAGAAAATTAACTAGATGTTACATGCAGTCAGTTTTGCTGACAATTTACCACAATCAGATTCTTTGAGACAATGCAGGATTGCACATGTCATAGCCTCCTGGCCTTATTTCTACTTTGTTTTGATTTTTTTTAGGAAGTTGATCAAGAAAGGATGGATCTCTATGAGAAGTCACTGGTGGCACAAACCATTGCAGCATTTTCTGCAGCTTCAGAAAACATCACTGCAAAAACTGCAAAGCCACAAGTAGCATCAAAATACCAAGCATCAGAATCAACATCTGACATTCCTGATGAATCATTATCTGCTGAAATCTTAGAGGGACGCACAAACAGAGATGTGGTAGGATGTTGAACCTAAAATTGTGCTTGTTTGTGAAAATTAAGTCACTTTTACTTGGAAGCTCCAGTGACCAGCAAAAATCATTGTCTAATCATCACAGAAGTACCAGCCACTTACTGCAAAGAATTTTCCATTTATGATGATAAAATAATCAGTATTAATGTTTTGCAATGCTTTGTTGTATGAAAACAAACACATGGTATACAATAAAGCAAATGTGATTAAATTAAGGTGCCATCTACTATCCTGATGGCTAAAACACTCAAAATGGGGAAGGTCCAAGACTTGTCCAATTGAAATGGGGGACGTTTCCATACCCATCCCCACACGTGAGTGCCTTTTAGGAAATATCAGGATTCATCAACAATGTATTGAACTTACCAGGGTGCAAAGAAAGTCAGTTTTACAGCTTACCATTCAAGCAAGCTGCAGCCAACATTTACTACCCCGGAGTCATTTTAATAAGCCAGGAAAAAAGTTTTGAGCAGCAGGATTAATTCCAGTTCTTCTGTAATGTGAATTTCCTTAAAAAAAATCGTTTGCCCGTCTGGCAAGTTAAGAACAAAATTCACTAGCCCGATAGCAAAATCCACTAGTCCCAGGCTTTTGGACATGACTTTCTTTGCACACTGCATACTTATAATAGTAATAATCATCTTAACAGATATTATTTTGTCAGTATTAACTAGCAAGAACTCGATGCATATTTCAAGTGCCAAATTCAAAGAATGAGACTAAAAAAATATGCTGAAGCTTTTGTCTGTTGAAGTGATATGCTGTGCAAATATTGGATTTTTCATTTTTCATTGCAGCAAATTTTAAACCACTGTATTGATGATATCGAGAATTTAGTCTTGCGAACAAAAAAGTCAGCTGAAGCATGGAAGAAGTTGAACAAGAAGAAAGGAAAGGCTAAGCGTAAGTTCTCAAATTATCTTTGTTGAAACCCAGTTACTGCCATAATGTTAGGGTGCAAAGAAAGTCATTTTAAAAGCTTGCAATTCGGACAAGCTGAAGCTAGTGTATACTAGCCCAGACGTCATTTCAACTAGCCCCCAAAACATTTTGATGAGCAGAATTAATTTCACAGTTCCACTGTAATTTGAATTCCTCAAAAGACCACACTTGCCTGTCGGGCAAGTTAAGAACAAAATTCACTAGCTTGATAACAAAATCCGCTAGCCCTGGGCTATTGGACACTACTTTCCTTGCACGCTACATGAGGTTGTACTAAATCAATCAATTTTGTCGTGTTAGATCAGTTGGCTGAGCACCAGTCAGCCAATTTGCTCTTCACAATATAAAAATGATTTAAAAAAATTATTTTTCACCCTGAATTGGGCTGATTTGTTAAGACAACATATAGCAAACACAAGAAACGATCTGACTTGGAAAAGTCTCAGATTTACACAAAACAAATCAGCCCAATTTTAGGTTGCCTCCCATGCAGATGTCTTGCCCTGGGAGAACATCTGCATGGGGGGCTAAATTTTAGGCCCATTCACATCCTTGCATTTGCCTTTGAGTAGAAGGAGTGGCTCGATAAATCATAGCCTGTGCATTGACACTTACGCCGCACAGACAGATTATACTACTGCAAACTGGCCTTAAGCATGAGATTGTGGACTAAACCTCTGCCCAGACCAACAATCAGAGACTGTAAAAAGCTGATAAGATTACGCTGGCTGCAGTATTCTTTGTCTCAGTTCACATGGGGTGGCTACCATTAGTCTTTGACCTTGACTCCTAAAATTGGTGACCACTAGCTTTTTATGAAGTTTTAGCCAATTAGAAACGGAGAAATATTTTTAACGAATAATAATGTTCTGTTTTTTTCCTCACCTTGCAGGAGACAGTATGTTGTCACATGAAGCTCGACCCCCTCCAGAGGCGGACTTCTATGATGCATTTCAGAAATTAAAACATGCTTTTAACTTGCTGGTAAGATTTTCATTTCCTGTTTGCTACTTCAACTGTTTTGCAGTCTATGTTTGGCATAAAGGGTATGTAGAGAAAAGCATTTGCAAGTGACCTGTCACCAACTCCAACTCATCCTTGTGTAGTTCAGAGCTGGGATTTTCAATGTGCTATGCATTTCTCGGCCAAGTTGATAGCAAATTAATGAAAATCCTTTGAAGTGCAGTGTAACCCTTTAAGCCCCAATATCTACATACAAATTCTCCAAACTGATCTCCATACATTTCCTTTAAGAATCAGTTGAGAGAATTTGATGGCAGATCAAAGCATTTTCTCTTTAGTGATCATTACATAAATTCTCATAACATAATCTCTTGACAAGGTATGAATATTGTTGGAAGAAAATTGATTTTGGTCACCATTGGGACTTAAAGGGGTAAAGGACTTGCTAGTCTTAACATTTTCTACATTGTATATTCATCGTGACATCATTGTTTACATTTTTGCTCATTAGCATACAGGTTAACCCATGGCAGATTTGGCCGTATGTACTAATTAGGTTAAAAACTTAAAGGAGCTGGTTAATTTATGCAGTTTGTGCAAGTTTCAGCTCTTTGCAATCAGTAGCAAAGAGAATAGCAGCAATTAAAAAGTGCAAAATTACTGGGTAGCAAAACATTAATGAGCTCATACATTCTTTGTAAATTTTGGGTTTTTCAAAGAGAATTTCTCCAAAACTATTTCATATATCAGGGCTCAAATTTTCAGAGATAACTGAAATTGTTATGCTCTTTCAATATTTATTAGCTTCATCAGATATTAAGAAACCTATGCTAATGAGGCAAAAAATGTAAACAAGGATTATGTGATTACTGACAAAGAACTCATTACCCATAACCTCCTTTGCTTTTCTGTCAATCAATCTGTCAATTCTGTCAATCACGTCATAGCCTGTATGGCAGGAACTGAGAGGGGAGGAGAAAGGAGAGAAATGGGAGAGGGGATTGAGGAGAGAAGAAAAGAGGTCTCTTCCTTTCCCTTGCACACTTTTCTCCTCCTACCCTCCTCTCTTTTGCACCTGTCATGCAGGCTATTAACTCTTATTAAGTTAATCAATAAAAATCCTTGGCTCTGTTCAAGGTAACACCAACACCAACAGCCATGATACATGTATAAGCTGCAGTTACATGACCTAACAAAAGTTACTTTTTGTACCCACAGGGTAAATTGAGGAATCATATCCACAATCCTAATGCCGCTGAATTAGTTCATTATTTATTTGTTCCTCTATCCTTGTTGGTTCGCTGCACTGGAGGGTAAGGCCTATGTCGCAACATTCATAAATCACTTTATCCAGCATACATGTCATTTTGCAGTGCCTTAGACTATTTGTTTAAAATTTCAAATTTTTCACTTTCTCAGATAATGAAAAGGCACAGGATTACATAACTATGACCGTTAATAATTCATATTTTTGCAATGCTTAATTGAGCTTGTGCGGTATTCAAACAAAAAGAAGTCTGGAGCGCAGGTGAAAAGAACTGATAGAGAGCATGTGACTGGTAGGCTTGCGTATAAATCCAGGCTTTTGGTACTTCATGCCTAGTTAGCAAAAACAACAACAACTGCAGTCTAGCAATAACTTAATGCAAATTCCATGACTTATGAATTAGTCCAAATTAAACTATAACCTACTCTCGCATCTCTTTTTCCACCAAGTGGAGAGTTTGCTCACAGATAATACTAACAACTGTTTGCAGAACTGAAATTAACATGATTGGTGGTCTTTTGGGACTATGTATAAGTGTGAACTCCTTGTGTGGTTTTATTTCAGTCCCGAAAAGGCCAGTGCTGTTCTTGCACCTCTATTGACACCTCAAGCAATAGAATTGCTAGAGAACTGTTTGTCGTCAAAGGAATCGGAGGTCTGGAAAGTTCTTGGACCAAACTGGATCTACCCAAAGTATGTAAATGTTAGGTTTCCAACCATTATACCAATAACTATATAAGTAGCACGTTTGTACCCTAGCTCCCACTCCCGCCTCACTCCTCCTCTACTTAATTTGTCTTTGGTGAAGGTTTTGGATGGAAGAAATATATTCTCGCCTTCATTTCTTCCTCAGTGAAGAAGTTGTTAAGAAAAGCAAATTATACTCATGCCAGATATAGTAAAACTCGGAATAACCAGACACCCATGGTATGTCATAGGTGTCTGCTCAATAGAGCGCCGGAAGAAAAAAAAAACAAAATCAGTGCCATATTTTCTGGGCAAATTTCATGATCTGATGAACCTGATGACATCGTACATGATCCAAATAGCCCAAAATGGCGGCTCACAAAGCTGAATTTTTGCAGTCTTTGGAGAGGAATTGTGTAGTGGCCGTGGATGTCCGGATATGACCTTGTTGTTTCAGCTCTTTTAGTTGGAAGCTATTTCAGGAAATTTATCGAAATCCAAACAGTCAGATCTCCCACTAAATTTAGAGAAACAAAAAAATTTAACAACGCAAAAGTTTACATTAAAAGAAGATGTAAATAATACTGCATGGACAGAGGAAGGTACGGATGGACGAACTTGAAGAAGATTAAAAAGTACTGCAATTGTGGTTTTTGGAAACTTGTTTACCATAACAGTGTTTAGAAGTTCATTTTTGTTGTTTTAAATATTTGATATAATGCTTAGGAGACATTTGTTGTACATGAAACTGTGTTTTTTTTTCTCATGTTCAAGTAATATCTTTGCTAAAGTTAAGTTCCATTGTGAATAAGGTCGTGTAATTGGCAGCTACATAACAAGTCTGGTAAACTGCCCACCTACCCCTACCCTAAAGCAACGGTAACACTTACTTCTCACTTTGGTCAAAATGTTGGCGTAAGGGAGGGGTAGGTGGGCAGTTTCCTAGAAACGTTTAATGATTCAGGAAA